GATCAGGAGTCAGGAGATACCAAAAACTTGTTGGTTTTTCGGGTTAGACTTTGTACTAAATGTTTTACAAATAGCTTGGCCAAATTTATTATTAGAAAAAATAAAAAATGAATATTATGATAATATATTAATAAAACAATATCGAAAATCAATCATATATATAGAATAATCCAAGTATTTACTTCTTGTAGGAAATTATCTGATACAAAAGGTGGAATCTTTTTAAATGATCCAATATTAGATTGTCTAGAATGGTGTGATGTGGATGATGTACCTAGTTCGACGTATAAGTGAAGCTCGTGAATATTCAAAAAAAAAAAAATTATATAGGCGACATGCACCTTTTTCAACAATTGAAGGTTGAATTAATCTATCGAAACAATTTAAATGTAAATTATGTTGGGACCTGGGATAAAATCTTATAATAGTTATGATGAAGTGAGCACTGAGCGGGCATTTAACATGTCATAATTTATATTATTCTGATATAGATGACTCTTTGATAGAGGTGGATCATGAAAATGTGAAGAAACTTATTTCAATTTGGCTTAGTAAAGTCATATTAAAAAAGTAACGTAAAATTAGGTAACTAACGTATGATCGCTTAATGAACTGTAAATTTTTAAATTTTGGTTAGTTAATTATTAAGTCCTTTTGCATAGCTTTCGTATAGTGCTGGCAAAAGGTAATCAGAAAAATAATTTATCTATAGTCCAACGAATAAGTGTTAATAGCTCATAAAAATTTGCAGATATGATTTATGCTACTATTTATATTATGATAAATAAATATCAAAAGTTATATTACTAATATATCATTTGCTGCTTACTTACCAACTAATAGTTATTCGCAAGAAGCAATATGATTGATCGTGCCGCAGTTACGAGGTCACGTGTGCAAAGTAAATGTTTTATCATACATAATAGGCATTTATTTAGTATTAAACTAACTGTACTCACCAATTAGTAAAATAATGTCTGATAAGCATATTTAATACACTACCCTACAAAAAGTATAAATTTTACTTAGTAAAACATAGTAAAATTGATGGTTTTCTCAGGTTGCATGAAAATCTGCGAATTTTCAGTAAAATCCATCCGAAATTTTTTTATTTGAAAGCCAATCAATTCTAGTTTTTAAAAATATAATCAGAAATATTTTATCTTTATCTATAAAATAAATAGACGGAATAATTTTATATGTAAAAACGCAAAAAACATATAGAAAAATTGTTACCTATATGTTACAATGAGAACATTTTTTTTATGTTAAAAAAAAACTTCTTTTTTGTTACTTTAAAACTACAATTGATCAGCTTCATAATAAAAAAAATTTCAGGCGGATTTACTGAAAATCCGTAAAACTTTCGTGCAACCTGAAAATCATGTTTTACTAAGTAAATTTATAAAATCCGAATACTTTTTGTAGGGTAGTGTAGTTAAAAGTGCCGAGTAACTGTTGCATTTGCTGAGCGTAGCTCAGTGATCATATTATTACTGCTAGTACTTCAATCCGGTGAAAACTTTTAATTAAAATCCGGATAAAAAAAAATTACTGTATTTTACCGAAAATAAGCACTACCGGGTACCCGAAAATAAGAAATTTAACCAGACATATAATGAATGTAATTACAGTTGAAATAATGTTCTCAATGAAGTAAGCCATTGTAACCCGTTTAAAGTATTATTATCACTAATTATTTTCGTCGTTAGTTTTACTTATTAGTTTCTTTCTTTTGCCATTTGTCTCAGTAATCCAGTTCATACTTGCTTTAACCCAACGTACTTAAATTAGTAAGATTAAAGTGGTTTGCTGCTGCGCTTCAGCTGTGTTGTTTTGCGTAATTGACTACTTCCCTTTCATCTCAATTTTCAAACGCACCATGAATTAGTTCCAAATTTCTCAGATTTCAAAATTCAGCCAGTAAATGAAATCAATAAATTCCAATTATTCAACACACGTAGTTCGTCTAATAACCTTGTTGACGCCCTCGTGGCATTGTTTGTTCTTGTGAAAAAGAAAGTAAAGCGTTGTGCAACAAATTAGATGATCATCAGGTGCTATTAGACGCAGCTTGATAAATAATTATCGACTACCCCCAGCGTAACCTGAAAAAATGTCACATTGCGCAACTTGACTGAAATTAAGTGTGGCGCACATGTAACGGACGAGTAGGATTTTGTTTCTAAAAAAATTTTTTGAAAATGGAAACAAGGAAGGGTGTGATGCCGGTGATGAAAAATGACCCGTGATTTTTCGTGACTTTTTCAGGTCATGGTCGGTCATCGGTCGGTCATAACCGGTCAAGAACCTTTAACCGACCGACCGACCGACCGTTTGACCGACTCCTGAAAACGTTTGCGAAATGTAATTTAATTGAAATACTTAATAAAAAACGTTTTCGCAACGTTTTCTATTAAAATAATTAAAAAAACGTTTGCGAAACATTTTTTTTATTAAATTACGTTTCACAAACGTTTTCAGGATCGGTTAAACAGTCAAACGGTCGGTCAGAGGTCTTTGACCGACCAATATCGGTCACGGTCATAACCGGTCATAACCGGTTAATGACCGTGACCGTTGCCATCCCTTGTATGAAGCCGTGGTAATTGAGGGAGATATAGCCGAGATAGCTCTTGTTAGACCGATGTCGGACAAAATCCCGACATCCATTTTCCCAACAGAACTTTTGCCCGACACCGTTGGCCTACATTAGTTTTAATGCTGGTCAAAGTTGTCGGGGAAAATGTCCTGTCGGGAAATCGTCTGTCGGGAAATCGTGGTGTAACCTGTTAGACTATATCAAACTCCAGTTTTTACTTTACCATCTTTAAAAGAATTTTTATTAATTTATTTGATTTATTTTAACATTTTATTTTGGACTTTGACAACATTTATTTAAAAAATTATAAAAGAATAATTAATTTCTATTCTTTATTTATTTTTAAAAAAAATTCTAAAAACTACATGGTTCACATAATAGGCTAATAGGCTACAATATTTAAATGCATGTTTATCTAACCAATATACCTAGATTATATTGCGCATCTTTGTGTCCTCTTTCTGCTGCTACTTTGTATAACTCAGATGCTTTTGCTTTATTAATTTCTGTTCCAGTTCCAACATTATAATAATATGCGAGTTTAAATTGAGCATCTAGGTCATCTTTTTCAGCTAATTGCTTAATTATTTCGAATGCATTTTTCCCATCTTTATCAACTCCTATTCCGAATTCATAACACATACCTAGATTATATTGTGCCTCATTATGACCTTGTTTTGCAGCTATTTTGTATAAATCAAATGCTTTTCTTTTATTAACATCTGTCCCAATACCAAAATCATAATAATATCCAAGTTTGGATTGAGCATCTAAATATCCTAATTTTGATAGCTGATTAATAATTTCAAACGCCTTTTTCTCATTTTTATCAACTCCTTCTCCATGTTCATAACATATACTTATATTATATTGTGCATCCTTATGACCTTGGCTTGCAATTGACATATACAACTCAAATGCCTTTATTTTATTAACATCAGTTCCGATACCAAAATCATAATAATAACCAAGTTTGAATTGGGCATCTAAATATCCTGATTTGGATAGCTGATTAATAATTTCGAATGCTTTTTTCTCATCTTTATCAACGCCTATTCCGAGTTCATAACATATGCCGAAATTATATTGTGCCCCGCTATGACCTCTTTCTGCAATTTTTCTGTATAACCTAAATGCTCTATCTTTATTAGCTTTGGTTCCAACTCCTATACTATAATAATATGCAAGTTTAAATTGAGCTTCTAGATCATCTTTTTCAGCTAATTGATTAATTATTTCAAATGCTTTTTTCTCATCTTTATCAACTCCTATTCCAAGTTCATAACATATACCTAAATTATATTGTGCCCCTCTATGACCTTGTTCTGCAATTTTTCCGTATAATCTAAACGCTTTATCTTTAATAATTTTAGTTCCGATTCCAATACTATAATAATGTGCAAGTTTAAATTGAGCATCTAGATCATCTTTTTCGGCTAATTGATTGATTATTTCAAATGCTCTTTTTCCATCTTTATCAACTCCTATTCCAAGTTCATAACATATACCCAGATTATATTGTGCTTTATTATGATCTTGTTCTGCAACTATTTTGTATAAGTCAAATGCCTTTTTTTCGTTAACATCTGTCCCAATACCAACATCATAATAATATCCAAGTTTAAATTGAGCATCTAGATCATCTTTTTCAGCTAATTGACTAATTATTTCAAATGCTTTTTTCTCATCTTTATCAACTCCTATTCCGAGTTCATAACACATGCCTAAATTATATAATGCTCCATTATGACCTTGGTCTGCAATTTTTCTGTATAATCTAAATGCTTTATCTTCATTAACTTTCGTTCCAATTCCAACACTATAATAATACGCGAGTTTAAATTGAGCCTCTAGATCATCTTTTTCGGCTAATTGATTAATTATTTCGAATGCTCTTTTCTCATCTTTATCAACTCCTATTCCAAGTTCATAACATATGCCTAAATTATATCGTGCTCCATTATGATCTTGTTCTGCAACTATTCTGTATAAGTTAAATGCCTCTTTTTTGTTAACATCTGTTCCAATACCAACATTATAATAATATCCAAGTTTGAATTGAGCATCAATATGTCCTTTTTCGGCTAGTTGTTTGATTAATTTAAATGCTTTTCTCTCATCTTTGTCAATTCCTTCTCCAAGTTCATAACATACACATTTATTATATTGTGCATCAAGATGACCTCGTCTTGCAGTTATCATATAAAAGGTAAATGCCTTTTCCTTATTAACATCAGTTCCAATACCAACATCATAATAGTATCCAAGCTCAAATTGAGCATTTAAATATTCTTTTTCGGCTAAATTTTCAATTATTTCAAATGCTTTTTTTTCATCTTTATTGATTCCTATCCCATCTCTATAACATATACCTAAATGGTATTGTGCGTCAATGTGACCTTTTTCTGCGGCTATCATATATAACTCAAATGCTTTTTCTTCGTTAATTTCAGTTTCAATTCCTTTTTCATAACAATATCCAAGTTGAAATTGAGCATTTAAATATTCTTTTTCGGCTAAATTTTTAATTATTTCGAATGCTTTTTTTTCATCTTTACTGACACCTATTCCATTTCTATAACATATACCTAAACTATATTGTGCGTCATTATGACCTTTTCTTGCGGCCGTTTCGTATAAGTTAAATGCTTTTATTTCATCAATTTTAGTTCCAATACCTTTTTCATGATAATATCCAAGTTGAAATTGAGCATCAAGGTAATTTTTTTCGGCTAAATTTTCAATTATTTCGAATGCTTTTTTCTCATCTTTGTTAACACCCTCTCCCATTTCATATAACAAACTTAATTCGTATTGTGCGTAGTTATCTCCTTTATCTGCAGTTACTTTATACAATTCATATGCTTTTGACTTGTTAATTTCGGTCCCAATCCCATTTGAATAATAATATCCCAGTTGAAACTGAGCATCAAGGTATTCTTTTTCGGCTAAATTTTTAATCATATCAAATGCTTTTTCCTCATCTTTGTTAACTCCCACTCCCAATTCATATAATAAACTTAATTCGTATTGTGCGTAGTTATCTCCTTTATCCGCAGCTATTTTATATAGCTCATATGCTTTTGATTTGTTAATTTCTGTCCCAATTCCATTTGAATAATAATCTCCAAGTAATGATTGAGCATTTAAAACTCCCTTTTCAGCAATTTTTTTAATTGTTTGAAATTCTTTTTTTTCGTCTATACCATCTCTGCGATACAAATAAAGTATACACATATAAAATTGAGCCAATCCGGTTATAAAATTTGTCGTTCTATACCAGTCAATAACTTCCTCCAAATTTTCTAATATATAAATGATAATAATAATGATAGAAAATAATAGTATTAATGTTCCTATTATTACAGATTTTGGTAAATCATATTCGTATAATTTAAAATAAATATATTTAAGTGGATCCAAAAATATCTTTTTGCCCAATTCTTTAAATTTATTCGTATAAGGTATATCCGACGATACAGGATAAGTTACATTTAATTGAGTAGTATTTTGATTTTGTGAACTTAAGCTATTTTCGGATTTATTTTCATCAATAATTTGTATGTTTTCTATTGTTAAATCACTGAAATCGTCAGTTACAACACTTTTTTCGCTAATATTTAGTGATATGTTTTCTATCTTCGAATTGTAAATTTCATCACTTTTTTCACTTAGTATTATACCTTTTGGATCTATTATTATTGAACTATTTGATTGTTTATTTTCTTCAGGTAAGATAAGCGATTTAAGTAATGAAACAACTTCTTTCATATCTGGACGCTCGATTTCTTCATGTTTCCAACATTCTAATTTAAAATTTAACAAATAAATAAAATTATGATTTTATTTTCAAAAAAAATACATATAAATGTGATAATTTACCTTTATATAAATCACTATACTTTTTAGGAGTACCCTCAACAATTTTTTCTCTTCTTCCACATAATATGCCGATGGCTAATGTTACGTCATGAATTTCAGTATCAAATGGTATGCGTCCGCTTGAAATTTGCCACATAAGTACTCCAATACTATATACATCAGATTTTTTATTTAAAACATAATTTTGCTCATCATTAACTTTTAAATTATTGAAACTCTTTGGATCGAGATAAGGTACAGCACCATGCAGTGAGGTGTTATAGGCGTTACTTGAATCCTTAGTAATTTTTCTTGATAAGCCAAAATCCGCCAGCTTAATATTTTTTTGATGTACAAGTACGTTATTGGCATGCTAAAAAAAGAAAAAAAAATGTTTAGGAATTTAGAAAAAATTTTTTTTTTCCGCAGTCTGCTCCCCGATAGCGAATTTCCCATCACGTGTCATTTAACCAATCAAATACGTTAAATATCCCTCATATTAAATTCTTTGCTATAATCTTATCGTTATAACCGACGAATTTAAGGTGAAATCTAGAGGTTTATTATATCGAGAGCTGACATATAATAAGATAGATAGTAAATTAATATTAATGTTATAATTACATACCAGATCACAATGAATAATATCTAAATTGTGTATACATTCAACGGCACTTGCTAGTTGAAACGCTAATTGATGTTTATCATTCCAACCAAGTTCATTAAAGTGTTCCGTTAAATAAGTTTCTAACGTGCCACTATCGGCGTATTGCAAAACCAACGAGTATGATCGTTGAAATGTTTCTTAGTAAAGAAAAATTGTAAATAATAAATAAATAATTAGTAATAATTTAATAAATTAAATTATGATTTTTTTTAAAAAAAATTTTTACCGGATTCCATCCATGTGATACCATGAAATCGCAAAATATTTTGGTGAAAGTCGACATGTTTATGTAATTTTATCTGTAATTAATTCGTTTCAAATAAGAATCAATTTTAAATCAATACAATATTTCGAAAATTTCTTAATTTATACCTCATTGACGATATCTTTAAGAGAAAATTCAGTATTAAATGATTTCAAAGCGAAAATGGTATCGGTATTTTTCAAATTGGCGCAAAGAACTTTTCCAAAATGGCCAGACCCTATCGATTTCGTTATTTTAAAATTAGAATGCTCATAATAACTCAAATATTCATCTTTGATTGAGTTTTTTAACCAATCGTTATAATCATTTGATTTTTCTTTTTCGTTTAGCATTTTTTTTTTGAAAAAATTTTTTTTGCTACTATTGATCAACAAGGATTAAGATTTTCGAAAGGACGTGGATAAAAATAAACTGATCGGGAGTTTAAAGTCCGATTCGATGAATCCTTTTTTGGATTCATTATTGAATGATAATAATTGGAATATATATTTGTTTAAAAATATAACCATTATAGTTTTCCTAAGCACTGCGCCGTCTTATGTAATCTACGCCACATCCTTATTTTATGAGGATCGACACGCCTTTAGAATTAGCTCTACCCGTTTTTTCTGAGCTGGCATATGTAAATTCTGCATGTTATTATCAAAAAGAGAAAAATCTACATGACTATCTTGATCATTATACAACGTTAACTCACAACTATATTAAATGAACAGTTTGTTTAAAACAAATAAAAATTTATAAAATGTTTAATCGCGCCTTTCTTATTAGATAGTTTTAATTTACATTTATACATATTAGAAATCATATAATATATTAATATTATATATTGGATTACAAAAAAATATGATCTGCACACTAAAGCCACAGAAATTATGATTTTCATGTGTGCAAACGCACAATTATATTGTGCACAAAAATTTTTGTGCTTGGAAGTTGGAACAAGTATTCTGCTTATCAATTTTTATTACTCTGCTTACACCACGCCTCTTTACTAAATAATATATAAAATGATGTCAGTAATTATCTAATTTATACTAGAATCATAAGAATGATAAACCTTATAAACACTAATCCCTGTTTATAATATCAGATCTAACCATCTGTTAATAGCGTCTGGATTCCGTTTCCCCAATTATTGAATAATTAAGTCAGAAAAAGTAGAATATAAAAATAGGCGTATTTTATTAATTAGATGTAAGTATGTCTACTTGTGACTTCAACGTCATTAGGATCTGTTATCATATTTTATCGCGCATTGATTGTTTTTAATATTAAAATATTCTCTTTCGTGCCATTTTTTTATATTTATATCACTTTAAATACATCAACTACAATATATCCATGATTTTTATATATCATCAGTCACGTATTTTGTGTAATATTTATCAGAGAAAAAATATGTAATTTTCGCACCTCCAAATAGTATAAAAAAAAGAATACAATATATATATTTTCATACGCTTTAAATATTAAAGGATAAAAAGTTTTTTCACATTTGTACTTCAAAATAAACCTATAGCTTTTCATATTCCTTGATTACATTTCAGTTGTCTCAAATTATTTGTAAATTATTTCTTGCTACTATAATCACGCCTCATAATCTACTATGTTTCGATAATTTGATTTTTTTTTAAAAAAAATGATAAAGTATTTCAAACTAATAAATATTCTTAGCTTATTAGCGCCAGCCTCTTTTTCAAAATATCACTAAGAAATATTCCTAAAATATTGTTCAACTATTTAGAAGTATATTCTTTTACGAAAAAATTGAGTATGTATTTTTGTTTTTTATAGAAAGTTACACCGCTCATACAACCACCTTTAATTGTTTTCAATTACTTTGAGAATCTTGCCTGTATTATCACACTAACTGAACGCTATAATATTTTATTCAATATTATACAACTATTACATCCCGTCCATTAAATGACGCGAAAGAAAAAGGTAAAAAAAAAGCTTTTTTTAAAAATTTTATTTATCATTATCATAAAGAATTTTATTCCATGGGAAAGTCTCAAATCAATTGAAAATTCTATGTTTCTAACTTAACCTGATAATTACACACTTTAATAATAAATAGTTTCTAGTTTCTAATAATAACGGTGGATTATCAATTTATTTGATCTTCTTGAATTGGTCTTTTATTATTGAATGATTAACTTACCTTCGGGAAGATGTCACTTACGTGTTCAATTCCTGTTTGTTAGTAAGTGTGAGGTACACTAATGGTATGATATTTGATCACGTGTTCCCAAGCTCGAAGCCGCCATGGCGCCATTACAAACTCTATAAAATAGTAGCGTGAAGGAACGATCACCGATCTCTCACAAACAATCGACTGACCTATAATTTACCCCTTATGACTGCTTGATAAGATGGGTGAGATTCACATATTTTCAATTATTTTTTTTTTTTATTTTATTTCTTAAAGAGTGGTTATCGGGATCCCTCCCGAAAACAATCGTATGTACAAAAAAAAAGACAAAGAGGATTCTATGAAGATGGAAAATCGATATTCATCCCAGCGCCAGGACCTCACCCTTCGACGAGAGATATAGGGTGGCCCAACCATTGCCAGTCTACACTACCATATTGGTCCTTAAATTGTTCAATTTCCAGCGACAGCACGTGATTTTCCTGATGTTGATATATCCTCGCGCCTTTTTTTAATAATTTTTTTTGAGAAATCTTAACCTGTTCCAGGGGTATACGATACTTATCTTGTTCCCCCCTCACCAGCCTCATCAGCCCTGGCCTCCCAAATTTATTTGTTTATTGCTTACGATATGCAATACAGTTTCTTTCTCTCTCTCTTCTTCTTTATCTTTCTTTCTATCTTCTTTTTTTATTCTTTTATATATCAAGTTGAGAAACTAATTATTTTCAACCACCAACTTAAATGCACTGTATTATATGTAAAACTAAGAATATTTTTCATAAAATTTTTTAATAGACGCGTTTTTTTGTACGGAAATTATTTATTTTACCAAAAATAACAAATAATTTGACCTTTGTCAAATAAGCAAAGCTGTTCAGCAGGGTATGGAACTACTCAGATATTTGTTTTTATTAAACTAGTTTGCATATTCATAAAACTATACACATTTTTTTGAACATTTCAATACAGGCACTTTATGGCGTTATTTGCGTAATTTAAGTACTTTGAGTGAATAAAACTAGCTTTTATCAAAGAAATAAAATTGTTCAATAGGTATGGAACTATACGAATATTAATTTTCATTACATTTGAGTAAATATTTATGGAACTTTTGTTATTTTTTGCAATAAATTTACTATGCGCGTATGTACTGTTTATTTTACAAAATAATTTCTGCACTTTGTCTATTGTCTTATAAGTAGAATTGTTCAGAAGGTGTGAGATACTTAAACGCTAGTACTTTATTTTGGATAAAATTAGTTTAATTTTTTGTATCTATTTATTAAAATTTTAATAAACAATATAACTATAAAGCACTTTATTGATTTAAAATGGTAAAATTAAAAATGTTAAAATTTTGAGTCTTTTATATTTGAAATTGAAATATTGTAAAATTATTCTTATCATTTTTTCGCTCGCGCGAAACTAAGACATTATTAATTTTGTGGCTAATATTGATTAATTGTACCACACTTTGAGACAATCATATTTAAGAAAAGGGGAGTATAGGATAATAATATCCTATACCCGGGGTACACGTTAAGGATTCCCATTTGATCATCATATACGACCCAATTATTAAGGGTACATTATAAGTTCAACAAAATCAAAAGATTAGTAGATGGTTAGAAAATTAAAAAGGTATTACTGATACGAGTAGAGAAATTTTATACAAACAATCAGTATTTAAATTTGTGGTACAATTAAGAGAGGTCAATAAATAAAGAAAACGTTCAAATAAACGATTTTGCGATGCAAATAAAGAAATAGATAACGACATAAAGTATCAGTAAAGGCCAAAGGGGAATCAATTGAAAAAGGTAACACGACGGATATAGATATAACAATAGAGTTATCTCCACAAGCAATTAGTTCTACGATCGAGTCAATGGATAAAATTGCGTCATTACTAGAAGATCATAGTATTCATAAAAAGAAGATACTACAGTAATAAGTAAGTTAAACGACGGAATTAAACGAGAGCAAATATTAGAAGATACTTTTGAGGACAATATAAAAGATTAAGAAAAAGTAGAATATTAAGATAAAATAAGAACAAAAACAGTATAAATTTTATAAAATCACAGAATAGAAATTTTAAACAGAGATAATTGTATTTCATCAATTTCATCAACAAACTTTTATCTGAGTTTTATTATTGATTCTAAAACATATAAGTAACTTAAGTTAACTTTATCCCCTGATCGGCACCATTTACACGTTTATGCAAATGTAGTTATACCTACTTGGTAGCCAATTTTATATGTATTTATTTATCCGTTTCTAGGAAATTTTGCGGTAAAAATTAATTATTGATTATACTATAATGGACTGATTCGAAAATTTGAGTAATTCGGAAAGATTTGCATTTTCTAAATGAGAAAAACTTTCTTTTAATTTATTTGTAATCTCAATACTATTTTTCAAGTGTAATAGTAATGGTTCCGAAACTTTTTAAAATTTATTTTTTTATTTTAAAATTTTTAAAATGAAGCGTAAATTCAACAATAAAATATACTATATTATACTCACGATATACTATAAAACACTTACTATTGTGTAAATGGCAGGGGATAAATCAATTATCTCCTGGCTAATTGGAATAGTAAAATTTTACTTATTCCTAATTAGCCAGGAGATAAGTAATACATATATATTTATATTATTACAATAAACACAGGCGTTTTTATCTCAGTTATCTCAGTTATCTCAGTTATCCTGCAGAAATTGAAATAGTAAATAATTATTTATTTACAGCCGTTTTCATAAGTTACACTCGGTATTTTTGTAATAAAAAATAAAATAAAAACCATACCGCTGCTGTACTCGCCCTAAAAAAAAATCTGAATAAATGATCATTTTTCTAGTTTTTATGTTGAAGAAACTCAGACACGTGATCATTTTTCCGAAAAATTTTTTATAGACCAAACAATTGTTAAACATAAAAATAATATATTTCTGATATACAAGTTGGGGACTTGGAAAAGCTGGATCATTTCGTGATGTTGATATCATTGATATCATTCATATCAATGAAATTCCTTAAAATGTTACGCGACGTGATGACAATTATTGATAAATTGATAAATATAGATAGATTAGATAGATTGATCATTAACTATGAAATTAAAGGCGCAGTGCTGTAGTGCTGTAATGAGTCATTGTAAAATTTCATATACAAAATATACTATCACATAAATCAGGTATTATTATAATTTGTACAACAATAAAATATATAAAATGATTTTATTTCCTTTTTTTTTTTTTCTTACA